AAGGTGGTTGTTAGTAAAAGTCTTCATCCAGTTCGTAACGCCTTTGCCAAATCTCTGAATCATATAGAGACACTGACTGACTTGAAATTAGTGTTGAAAATAACAATCGCTTACTTTATGCTGATTGCATCTTGATTCCAGACTGATTCCTTATCAATGGAGATCAGTCTTGTGTTTCTGACCCTAACTCGTTTTGGTGACTTCATCCGTGCTGTTGCCTGTCGTTGAAACTATGGTACTTGTATGCGTGAGGGAGGTGAACTCTTTCACATTTGCTCATTTGAAAGTGATTGGCGCTGGTTGTTTTGAATTCGGTATCTTCATCACCTCTGTGTTCTCTTTGTTCACTTGAGGTTCCGTCGTTCCTGCCAGCCACTTCTAACAACATGCTGATCTTTATCTTGTACATCTTGCAGTTCCTGCGTCAGTTAACATAAATCGTTCACAAAGTTCGAATATTTTGCAGTTTTCCATTCGACTCAATAAATACCAGTCTTCTCGCCCCATCCATGATTCAGTCCGTACCAATTAGAAATCTCATTGATATTCGAGTGTCAATAATGTAAAATTCAGTCATTTTCTTGTCCCTGTAGTTAAGCATGATGTGTAGACATCTTCGGTTGGTGAGACTAAATGTTTACGAAACAGTAAGTAACACCAGTAACACAACGTGAGATGATAGTGACAATATTTACGATCAGAGAATGAATGACATGGCAAGAAAACAGATATACTTATATATACTATATAGAGCTAATATCACCAAAACAGATGAAAACAGAACTGGAGCGGAGAAGGCATTGTTCATATTAGTTTTTACATCTTCAAAAATATCGTCTATATTGTGTGTTTCAGTAATTCACTCAAATGACCTTGTCGTTACATTCAAGTGTAATTTCATTGGTATTCGACTGGTTTCCAGTTTGATCATTGATGGCAATTAGTCAGAAGAACACCGAATACCAGAGAGTACCGAACTCCTGTTTCCTCTTACTTCGAGATTCTTCAGTGATATGCACCCATGATCCCACTGGGGATCGAAGCTATGACTTTTGTACCACAAAGCAGTTCCGTCCCAGATGTTCAATGATGAATGAGTCCTCGTTGTAACCTGAATGTCCTGAGGTGAGTCCCCTATGTCCTCCTGGGTGCATTCTACAGAAGATTGTCAAATGTGGACGACCACTTCTTGTGGAAGAAACAAGAAAGAGAATTTTTTGGTTCTGTTTGATACAGATTATTTTTCACTTATATGGAAGATGAAATTTCTGCGTTGTGCATTTATAATTTTATCTTTTAGTGGGAGCACTGTTAAACTCATCAATCGTCCATGGATTTCAGCTGTGGGATCGTTCAGCAAACAATTTCTATCCTTTGTCACTCCACAACTATTGGTATGTTTACTTACGAAAATATTGTGACTTTATCTGAAATATCAGGTTAAATAAACAGGGATAACCTGTGAAGAATAAGTATTGTACATTGACACTAGATATCAGAATCATAGTTATTTAAAACACATTCGAAAAGGCATTAGCAAAATGAAAATCACTGAAACATCAAAACTTATGATGTGTAATTTTCAGAACTATATTTTCGAGCACTGTGATTACATCTTATTCAGCATGTGATCGTAATATCAGCTGAGGAACCATCGAAATCAACTCAGTATTGGCCAACAGTTCCCTGGTCTGGAGGGCCTCTCTAGTAGTATGCATCCGAGCAATCGAACGCAATATCTTCGAGTTTGCCAGATGATCATTTTGCCACTGGAATGTCAACCAGTTGTCGATGAATAGTAACTCTCCACCAAATCGGAGGATAGCGACACCATAGGCCAATTTAATTGACGAGTATTTCTCATCATATCTGACTTGTTGGAGCTCCTGTGGTCACAGCTCATCACTTAAATTTCACTCAACTTCACTGTGTAATCAGTCGCAAGTGATGACTAGAGCTAATTTCCAGTGTTTTAATTTATAGGAATTCGTTCAGCTTCACAGTTTGATCATGAGCTGAAAACGTCTATTCTGTTCAGTGTAGAAGTTATCGGCTAGCTTGATGTTTAGTAAGCTGTGAGTCCAGGCTAGACTAACGGATACAGAGAATCACATTGGAATCCGCACATATATAGTAAATCTATTGCTGTAAGACAATCAGGTGTGTAATGCTATTGTATGATATAGACTAGATTTATAACTGCTGTAATAAACATGACTGAATAGTGCCCTAATATGCACCTGTCGGTGGTTATGAACTGTGATTACCAACCTAGTATGAAGTATGTTGCGTAGCATCACACGTTTTGTACAAGTTTCCTTAATTCCCATCGGAACGTCTATACAGTTCAAAGGAATGCGTCAACTTAATTCAGATCCAATAGGCAGTTTGATAAATATACAGTGTTTCAGCGAAAAGTTACTACATATCCATTCATTCCTGTTATTTTTTAAAATATATCTTCACAAATCTCTAAACGCTGATTTCTTTACAATGTTAGTTAAAAGGCTTTGCTTCATTTCATTCAACAAGGCTGAAGGACGTAAACACTATAACTGTCCCAATCTGGATGGGATTGATATAGAGAATGAGGGTGGTGAAGGAACCGTTGGCACACATTTTGAAAAACGCACAGTTGGTGTAAGTCAATAACCTGGAGATTTTCTACTAACTTTGCAGATGTATTTGTCATTGTTGTTAAACGGTATTCAGCAATACGTTGGGTGATAGCAAGCTCTTCCATCTGAAGCAATATCCAATCCTATACGATATGTTTCACCTCACTTCCTATGAGTAGTGCTCTGCATTACGAGTAACACGTAAGTAAAATATGTGCGGGTCCATGTAGCGACTTGGGAACATTATTGAATGATTAAAACACAGAGAATTGGAGAAGAGTTTGTGCATCATACTGAATAGAAATTTAGGTAGCCTGGTGATTACAACACGTCACTTCTACTGGCGTAGAATCAAACAGAACTCAGACCAAATTTTAGATTAGAATAAAACGACAACGTGTTAGGATCTGTGCTCGTTTTAGCAATTCTCAGTGCTCTTTAATACAATGCAAATGTACAAAATGCCTTAACACTATTTATTACAGGATGAAATTATGGCAGGTGTAACTGGCGTGAAGACAGTCGCATCACGATTGACACTGGCATTCTTCAAGGATTCTGGGTGAGTTAAAAGACGAAAGGCCTATTTTGAGGTATCTGTGCAAGTGAATTACTACTAAATATATTCTATTTTCATTATGCTTCATATAAGTGTCACTGTAAAATTGTTTTAGCTCACCGTGTGTGCCATACAGCTAGCAGAATGCTGTCCCAGTGGGTAAATTAATTCTAGCCTCGTTAGTGATGAGTATTAAAATGGCATACCATTTTACTCATTTCATTTAGTCGATGATGGTTGGCAGTTTTATTCAGGTCTCAAGACTTGGCGTATCTGGGCCTGCTCATATAAATGTGCCTGCATTGTAAGAGGGTGATGCTTTTCGCAGTGATACTCGAATCCAGGATTCGTAGTTTCGACTATCTGAATATTATCCATTAGTCCATTACTATGCACCAGGTAATAGTTGTTATTTCTTGTAATTATTAGTGTGAATTTCGTGATGACTGACCTTATTGAACTGAAATGTTTGATTTCTGTTGACATGTTGACTACTAATGCAAACGCTTTGACAATAACTTAATGCTAGTATGATGGTATTTTATGTTTGAAAAGACAAATTCAGATCCAAGTTTCAAAAGGAGCGCCATGGATGAATAAGTGTGAAAGCAAATCCAGCTGATGGGTTTCGAGTAGCAGTTTATAAGGTTTTGTGAATTACAATTTTGACTCGCATCGGCTATATTAGACCATGTTAAACTGGAACCCGAATCGAAGCGTCAGTAGTGGAGGATTTCGGTTCAAAAAACAAATCACCGGGAAATTCAAGATACAAATCTCAATGAAATTTAACCATCTTCTTCATGTCTAAATGAGTAGTTAATCCATGATTCAATAAATATGGGAAAGAAGTTGATTAGTCACTAAGAAAACTCAGTATTGCAAAAAGAGTACCTCAATAACACAGATGTAGAGATGCAGTCTAAACATTCAACCATAATAGACGTGATGAATAGTTATTTACTGATAGATCGAATAATATGATCACGGATTTATAACAGCTAGAGAACCACTGAAAACCAGGAGGTAGTACTCGACAGCTGTTTCATCCTAGTTTGTGACTCTTCGTCAGTACGTGCCAGTGACTCCACTGGGGATTGAATTCAGGATCTTCTGACTAAGAAACTAAACTCGTCGATCACCCAGCCATTTGGTTCAGAATCCAGTGGTGCTACCACTTGCCAATATCATCGACGCATATTTGTCATCAGACACAATTTGCCGAACCTCACTGGTCACAACATGTTAGTAGAGTTTCATTTGGTAATTCAACGTTAAATCAGCATTGTTTAAGCCTATCCCACTATACCTGAATTTATTACACTGGGCTAATTGTAAGTGAGCGAGACATACTTCAATAAGTGTGTTTATTTATTAAGTATGAAACTATCGTGTGGATAATAAACACAGTTACATAAAACACATTCGCTAAAGTTAGAAATTGTCATAACAACGATACATAAGGTAATACTCGAATTAAGTTTCCCCATTCACACATACGAATTCTCTTCTTGGATGCTGATGGCTGTATTTCCTTTCTTCCAATAATAGTTGGTGGGACGTCGATTTCTCACTCGCTGAAAAATGGGACTATGGCAAAGGACTCGGCTGTAGCTTTGTAATGGAAAGCTGTTATGCGTATATCAGCAGAATGAAGCAACAGTAAGTCATCCAATGCATGATCAGTGAGTGTCATAGTGAATGTTTACAGATTATACTATTTGCTCGAATGGAAGTACACTCGCTTTGATTGCATAATCTTACATTTATTTACTCATTGGAAGATGAATTCAAATTGATATTGACATTTTGTGATATTTCAGGGGAAAGAGTATTGAACCGTATTGTGAAGAGAAGAGTGATTTGATGTGTTATCACAAAACCGCCTTTGGACTATGTTCTGTTGCTCAGTTTACTACAAGTTTACCTCCACCTGAGCAATATTTCAGAGGTATTCCTAATCAAGGCGGGAGTAGTACACTGGTGGACAGATGTCCAATGGTTCAGGTTAGTGCATTCAATGTCTAATCTTTAAATCTTATATCACTTATTCTTCAAATTACGTGTTTTAAATGGAAATTATACCGGTCAATCATATTTAGTAGCATATGTCGGAGTTCATCAACCTTATTCCTCAAAGAAGTAATTTGTTTTCTAGATGAAAATGGAAATTCTCTAAGTAGCTCATATTGGTTTCATATCGAAATAATAATTCTCTTGAAACCATCAGACGTCTTTCTCCAAATTAATATATGATTAAAACTTGATCATGTAATTCGCCTATTAATTTGTTTGCTTGCATATAGAGAGGGGACCTCTGAAACCTTACACGGAATTCTTAATAAAGCAGAAATTCACCTTCTTGATGTATAACTAACAAGATGAGCTGATGGAACCTTAAGAAGGTTATACCATAGAAAACTGACTTGGAAAGATCAACTAATAAGTTTCTACAGTTAGGTACCTATTGAGCGGAAAAGAAATCTGACTAAATTCCTTGCTACTCGGATCTGTTGCATGTGCAGTCAGTCCTAGCGCCCTGGAAGCAGAACTGGATCTTCTGAAAGAAACCTTCATCCAAAATGGATACCCCACAAGATTCATTGATAAGATTATCAAACCAAAGGTTCAGAGGAACGAAGCATCACTTGTTTCAAAAAAGATACTTCACATGAATCTGGATTTCAAGGGGGACTTAGCTTGCGATATCCTCACTCAAGAGAAGAATTTCAGCATCCTCGAAAAGAACATGCTTTGCCCGACCGACGCTAAGAGTAGTGTTCTACAGTCGTCCATTGATCTGCGGAAGCCTTAAGAACAAGATTTCACATCTGGCCACTTCTGTGTGCATATATCAGTTCACCTGTTGCTGTGGAGCCAGACACATTGGTCGTTCGACGCGTCTCCTGTCCAAAAGACTTCAGGAACAGTATCCTGCATGGGTGCAAAAAGGTAATACTGGCTGTATAAGAAGTGCGATAATCGAGCATCTCATCAACACTGGTCATTCCATTTCAACAAACGCCTCCTTCAAAGTGATCTACAAAGTGAAGAACAGCGTACCAAAGTCAACACACTGTCGTCTGTTTGTACTGCTGAACCCTTGGCCATTCATTTGTAAAATCCAGAGTTGGGCATACAAAGGAAATTCATCCAACCGCTTCTATTATCATGGTAGCAACCATGTTGACTTTTACTGACTTGATGTTTGTGTGCTTGTTTTGTCTTGTTGTTTTTTGTTTTCTCACTCGTTGTAACATTTGTAATTTTTAGAACTCTTACACAACAGATTAGAAAATCAAGACTTATTTGTAAAATTAACTGGTAATATGTGCAATACGCATGACTCACCGTTTGTCCCCAACGTCTGAGAAATTCAACCACCTTTTCGACGATTGGGAGGTGAGAAATAAAACCATAAATATCAAGTCCCTAAGATGTTCAGTAACAGTTGATGTGATTACGAACAGTGAAGTGTGTTCAAAGCCTCCTCATCCACTAAATAATGTCTTACAAAAATAGTAGAATAATCGTTTGATAGACTGATTGAATAAACGCATTTCGCACTTCCTTTCTTTGGTTTGAAGCAGATAGGTAGTAGCATTTTGAGAAATATTATGAGAAGAGTTATGCATTGCAAATATTCATATTTCGATCTCTCTCCGTTCATTTATTGACTCACCTTATGGACGAATAGCCGATGAAAACATTCTTTGAAGAGCCTCTGATGACATATTGTAACCATGATTTAAACAGACAACATGGTAAGCTTTTTCAAATCTGTATTACTCAAAGTTAATTGCATTATTATTATCATTATTATTATTATTTCGAGTGGAACATAAGGCTTCAATCGAAAACCTCTATTTCATCCTGTTCTCTGCAGCTGCCTTTAGTAGGCCGCACGATTTTCTTTAAGCTCTCATCTCCTCCCCACACGGTCTCCTCCATACCATCGTCGGACGCTCAACGGACGACCATTCGCTTCTACTCAGGTGTCTGACAGGTAATGCCATTCCGCGGTCTTCTCACTGTGTTTGTACGATTCATCTCCACCTCCCTCGGAACATTCGTTGAGCCATAGTTGCTCGGTTTGTTGGTTCCCAGAGTTTCCTATTGCCTGTCTCCTCTGGCCAACATGTCTGATCCTCCGTTGACATGCTTGAAATATATTTGACATCAGAAGAACATGAATGTTTGTCAGAGATACCAGCTGACACTCTTTTCAAATGTGATATTTAAGTATGTTACCTGTCAACTAACTCTTCAACTAATGGTTACCGAATCCATTTCCATTAGACGAAGAAGAATATATACATATATATAAATTTAACGAGAATCCGTCGATCACAATATCTTTGTTACAGTTGTCTTAGGAAATATCACAACTGGTGACTAGACTTTCATTCTATGTGACTGCAAGGCGTCCAATTGTTAGTCAGGATTTTATGCCTTAAATAAATGTTTTCTTTAGATTAGATTATTGCTTCTTGTGGATTTCTTTCAAAATCATAGGGTAAATACTTTCAAGTTAAATCTGTGGTCATGCGTGTATCCACTTAATACTGTAGAGGAAGCTTTCATATGGTGAAAGTGAATTACTTTTAGAATTTTAATAACTTATGAGTTCGAAATTAATATCACTAATCAGAGTTCATGTGTGATAAATTCACTTACATTGTATTTTCTTTGTAGCTCAAAGAGGAAATATGTTCGGTCAAGATTTCGGCAATAATTCAGTGTGTATTAGACATAAAGGAGCTTGGGAAGCCAGAATGAATGGGTTGGTTTCAAGAGATGCACGAATCAAAGCCACTTGTCATCAGGTATGTTTTGAAAAATGCAGTCCTATTATGGTGACATTTTGTAGTCAGACAGGAACCAATGATATCCTCTTATAAGCTCAAAGACACATAATTTCATCGCAGTCGTCGTTATATCTCTGAAGTGCTAAAAGATGATTGTATGTAGTGGATAAAATGGCAGCCTGCTTTAAAAACCGGGCTGTCTAATTATCTACAGGGCAGAATGCGTCAAACCCCCCCCCTCACTTATAATTTGCATTGACCGTCTATCTACTCATTACTTGAAGAAGAATATCTACACAAATGAATGACTTTCAACATACAACTTGGTTTGTCTTGAAGTGATAAAATATGTCAGGAGTCGGAGTATGTTGGAGAGAAAAACGTAATTCCTTCTAACCGTATAATGTAGATGAGTGATTTACTTGAAGATTCTATTTAGGGAGTAGATAATACCAAGTTGAAAACTCTGTACTGTATGTGAACATACTGCTCAGAATAAAGTGATTATTGTCATTAATGTTTTTTATTAGTGATCTACTTTGCTCTGTTGAGCATTCACACTTCTGTGTACTTCCTGGGGAGTATATAGATATATTTGTGATAAATCAGAAAAGTGAATAAATTTCTGTCAATTTATGTTGAACACATTCACAGATTTCTTGTTCTGGTGGTCTCAAAGTAGTTGTCGGTGGACAACCGTTCCCCTGTCAATCAGGTGTGGCGAGAATTCAAACGAAGCAGATTACTGGGGAGGCTATCTGTCCACCACCAAATGAAGTTTGTGGAGTAAGAAACATTTACATGGGAAATAACTGTTTTTATACTATGTCTAGTTCTCTTTTTGTGATGGGAAGCACTCATCTTCATACTTCAGTAAGAGAGGAGTCTTTTCTTTGACTGTGGAAAACTGTGAATAGATTTACCAAGCAGTGATCTTGACAGATTGTGCGTCTGTGTTTGCATCAAGGTGGGCTAGAGAATAAATTATAGAAGCCAAACATTTAGAAGACATTAGTGAAAGTCATCTTATATTTTTTTGATTCTGACATCATAAAATCGGCATAACGGCTGTGTAATTACTACTGTTGTGACGGTAGAGGACTAGAGGCTTGGTGAAGGAATGTTCATTTGCAATTTGGTATCGTTATCTAGCGAAATTATGTACGTCTTATCTGAAAATCGTCATTTGCTGCACAGATTTTCCGTGTTGTGCTATTGATTGAACTTCGAATTGTGTTTCTTTGTCATCTTTTTGGTGTCTCGCATATTTCGCCACAACTCTGAATCATTTGGTCTCTTTGACTTCAAATCTATCTCTCCACTATTTGACATTTTTACACGAATCAACGTCTCTTTATATACCAGTAATAAATCTTATTAGCAACACACGCCACATTACTGCTACTACAATTTACTGGAATATATATGTACATTTAGAATATAACTATATCCTGACATAATTCATTTGGCACTTCTATCGAGTTACAGGACAGTAGTAATACAGACTTTGAAACTGCTATTCGGATTTTGTGAAAGTTTTTGTAATTTTATACGCCCATTAAATTCAACAATCTACACCTGGTCTTGTCATCTTTACCAATTGGCCAACTTGAGAAAGTAAAGGTAACCTCATGGTGATGAACGGTGATGACGTAGCTATATATAAACTAAGACATGGTAAAAATTCTGGTTTAATATACCACTTTGATAAAGATATTAGCAGCATTGAATAGCGAAGCGTCAGTAAAAGCAATAATAGCGTTTTGCTTTTCATTCATTGAGAAGTAGAGGAACATTTTAAATAATTAATATCATGTGCCCACTGACGAAATTTTTTCAGACTGGTTAAAGTAAACTTGGTTTGGGCATATCTATGTATGCATATGTATATATCTTTAATTGCTCAATGGAATAAAGTTTACCACATTGGAAGTTGGATGTAAACATTTTGGAATCATCCAGAACTACTTTAAAAATAAAAGAGTGAAACGTAAAATCAAATTAATATTTGGAGAGGAGACGAGGATATTTTAATCCCGAATCGTATACTCAGCTATGTAAAGTCAGATGGGATGAATTTACACGAACACAAATAATCTGAGTGCGTATTCCGTAAGAGTGGTTGCTAACCTCAATGATTATCTTCATTCGAATATTTCTACTAAGACGATACTGTTGACCACACAAAGTTAAATGTTGATAAAACTGCAGTATAATGACAATATCTGTCACCGCAGTTACAATTGAATAATAATATATCTATATCCATCCACCCAGATTTTATAATGTTCCTAATTTTTTTGTTTTCCAGATTAAGAGAAGATGAAAATTACGTGTTGTGTGATTGTGTGTAATTAATTATGTACTCATTGCTTTATTTCAACTGCTTGTTTTATATTAACTGACAACCATCTTTCCTTGTAAATTTTATATGTTCACATGTCTAATATATACCTATTTAATTAAATTTCTCTTCCTGTTAATATGAATTATGATTTTAAACAACACACTGACAGATTCATTTAGGCTACTTGAAGAGATGCCAATAGGAATTCTTAGAATTATGTTGTGAAGTAGAGAAATTCAGTTAATACTTCATCGAGTTTATTAAAACTCGAGAAGAATTTCTGTTGTTCTAGTTGAAACCTACTTGGATACGTTTCAAACTGATGTTAATTTCAAGGGAAAGAGAAAGTTTAAGTCTCGTTGAGGTGTTACATTCAACCTCATAAAAGTAGTGTTGGTGTTCTTCACTAATAGTGGATATCCTAGAAGTGTCACTGATTTTTCTCAGGCCCGAATGAATAAGTGACTACCTTTTCGTCTAATTATCATCTGTCTGTATAGAAGGGTCAATATTTGCCATTTGAAAGTTTTGTGATCTTAATTACAGACATACCTACAAACCAATACTTGAATATTAAAGAAATCTAGTCAAGAATTTGTTTTCAAAGGCAACCGTGTTATGCTCTAAAGATGTGATGAAAAATGAATTTAGAAAAGCTTGTACGACTATGATGGATATCCCAAACAGTCCGTCAAGATATACTTTGAGCCTTCCTGGCTAAGACTGTCATTCTAAGGTGATGAATACAGATACCACTCTAAGTTATTCGACTGAAAATAATAATAATAGTACATAAAGCAGAAAAGATGCGACCTACTTAAATCACTGAGCCATCAGAATGTTTATCCATCGAAATGCTTGAATTCTTCTGCAATTCTTATCGTTTTAATCGTGCAATTATATTCAATGACCAATACATGAAATCGCGCACATATTTAATTAGTTTCCCTCGATATGCTGTGCACTTTTCGAAGGAACTGAAGAAAACATGTATGTGACTGGGTGTCTCCCCATACGCACTAACACTATGACAAATAATGTGCCTCAGAAAATTGTTTTACACTTAATTTCCGTATTAAGGGAAAATACTTAAACTGAATACTCTGAAAATTACTGTAGTATACGTTCACATCTTACCTGACGTAAAGCTTTATTGGGTAATTCGCTGAGTACACATTTGTTTTACTAATCCTGAGAAATGAGAACAGTCAATGACTGAAAATTAGATGACACCATTGTATTAAATTGAAACCATTGGAACTTTTTCGCTCGTTTACTTTGTTCCTCAACATACAGCATTTAATAACATACGAAGCGGTATACATTTCGTAGTCCTACTTGTGGGTGAGGATAACATGAAATGTCCCTCAGATCAAGAGTATCCAGACACTTTCTGAAAAACAATGCCATCTACTAAATGGACTGAAATAGAATGTGGATAGAGAGGAGACAAGAACACGTTAGGCAGAGAAGAAGATTCTAGAAGATCTGGGCTTCACGAACGATTTATGTCTAATTTTACAGAAATTCGAACATCTGCAGGCGAAAAGCAACAAGATGAGAGTAGCAGAAGCAAATACAGAACTTCATGTCAACATAGAGAAGACGGAGTTGATGAAAGTTACCAATCAACAGCAACCACAACCAGAAACAATCACCATCAACGGAAGAAATTTAAAAGAGGTCACTTCCTCCAGTTATCTAGACAGCATCGATTGAACTACAGAACGGCTGCACGGACGAGGATTTCAAAGCCAGACAGGTTTGGAAAGGCAAAGTAGACCATTATCACTCTGAATTCAGGTTGAAAATCTGTTGTACTCAGCACAAAGACGAAATCCGGATTATTAACACCAATAGTAAATCAGTCAGTGTGGTGGAGCAGTTCGGTTGTGAGGACAACTACTCTCCAGCGATGATACTCGTTAGTGGACACGAAATTTAGTGAATTGGCAGAAGTTGGAATTCATGGGCTGTTCATTGGATCGGTCTGTGAACTCACCTTGTAACCAGAAGGTCGTGGTTTCGAACTCTGGCGGTGGGTGCGTAATGATGAAGGGTCCTAAACCAGAAGGTAATTGATGTCCACTACTTCATGGTCGTACGAGATGACTGAAGAAAGTAAGTTGGTTTTCACCTGCAAGTCATTGAGTTTGTGTGACATAATACAAATATCACCTGATTAATCCATACCCTCTACAGTTTTCTTATCGGTGGATGCTGCAGGATAATAATTTTGTGAAATTACTTACCACTTCAAGGAGGCGATGACAGAAGGTGTTCTGAAATCCTGCATAGTGATGCGATTTAGTAACTCGCCCTCCGAATTACTAGACTTTCTTCCAACACTCGTGCATCGTCTACTACATTAAAATAAATCTGTCTACCTAATATGATCTCAGATGGTCTGACCATCTATTGCTACTTTGTCAACAAACTGCTCATGTTTATGACTTCGCATTCTGAATCACAAAGCTTGTTTATGATAACAGCATTAAAAGATTTCAGACATCTGCCTGTAAATTGACTGTGTCTGTTTAAATTGAACCTACTAACATGTTTTATACTCATATAACAACAAACTTCAACACTTTTCTAGACTTAACTGGAAGGTGAAGCCGTTTACTGGGCCTGGATTCTGTTCCGTATGAAGAAACTGCCAAAGGAGGAATGTGGCAAATTCAACCATTGACAAATAACGTTGAAATATTCGATACTCTAAGTGGACATGTTGAGAATACAAACACAATGCCACTATTGAAATTTATTTTGAAATAAAAGTGTATTCTGAAGAAGTGGGATTTACATCAAACTTAATCACAGTGACATGTGATTTAATTCGCCCTCTGGTTATTTCTGTCACATACAAGGTGACATTTTTAGAGATTTTAGACAACTATGATGACCTCTTGACACTGGTATGTCTTCTTCCACTTCTTGACAAACATAGTGTTAATTGACTATGAGCACAGTATTTCTGACGATGTATCCTTCTGTTGAACATGTCTTTGAAAGAAAGACTCTACGATTAGTTGAGAAAATGTCTGAGCAGTCGATAAGCTGCTAGATATTTGGTCATTATGTAACACTTGATCAGCTTTGCTGAAATTCGTGATCTGTAGTACCTACCAAAACTTAGCCTGTAAAGCCTTATAAAGAAACATGGGTCGAAAACATTTGCTGGAAAAAGAATTCTGTTAATTAGACAAACGTTCTAGGTGAATTCAGCGGAAAGGAAAGGCAAATTATGTGTGTAATAATGGCTGTGAGAACAAGTACAAGAGCTTCAGAATGTGGTGATGAAGAAGTGGATGCGTGTTCCTTGAATTATGCATAAATCACACAGTTAAAATGGCGTGTTTAAACAGCTGTGCAATTGTGGCTGACAGAGTGAAGGATCAGGGAAAATATAAGCTGATGAATTCCTAAGTGTATGAAATCCTCAGATGTTTAATCGCAAAGGCTATCGACAGATGTAACGATAAATTCACAGGTGAAATCCATAGACGTCGGACGCTGTTCAGAGGAGGGACTTCTGAAATTTCTTCACACTTCTTTTAATCCAGATGATCTTCTCTTCCGCTTATAAAACCTAAATCTTAATTTTTGCGTAAGGTTTGTCTTTTGATTAAGGCATTTAAATCTTCAATGGCTTTCACTTCCTGTTTAGTAATCTCAGGAAACAAAATGGAGATATTCACAGACAACACAATGACTCAACCTCATTCTTCTTAAGTCCCATAATTTACGGGATTTGCAGGGATTTATGCTGTGCCAACAGCATTTCCGCATCGCTTTCCAACTTGGTGATTCGTCATGTTTATAAATACCCGATTTATTCATTTGTCGCTCTCTCGGCTTCCGAATGGAAAACAGTGCTTCAACAGTACATGACGGAATCAATGATTCTGTCTTCAAAATGTCAGCAATCTACGTAAAAGAACTTGCTAGCTGAAGTATATAATAAGCGGCGCTCTTAGGATCAAGAAATGACTTATTGTATATAGACACTTTTGGAAACCGAAATAAATTATGACATGTTTGGTATCTCCAATAAGTTGGTGGAATATGGAAGTTAGGGGAGATTGGAGGTCGTTCTAGACAATTGTAACCAGGAATGCTGAACCCGATTTAAGTGTCTGAGTGCACTAATTGGACAAGGAACATTCACCAGTCAAGGAACCTATCATCAGAAGTCATAGCTGAGAAAGGCTTTTTGACGTTTAGTCAGCTGAAGTATCTAGAAACTCATTCGAGAATCAGTCGAATAATAGGATAGCCAATGGCATACGACTATCTTTTGACTTCTGCTCAACTAAATTATTATTTCACCTTTGGGTAACATGTAATGTTAATTCTCACTCCTTCAGTTAACTTCTATATTTCCCTTTCTATTTGAGCTCTACTGATAATTTGCGTAGTAGCACTTGAACTGTTTATGGCCGTAGGCAGTTAACAAGGACCGCTGAAATGAAAAAGATGAATGGCGTCGTTTCGTCATGCTCAAATTGTTGTTCTTGCATTGTTCACATTCGTGTTTCTATTTTTCGACTATGGTTTCTTTGGTACTGTCAGAGAAAATGGGGGAATGCAGAGGGAGATTGTAGTTGAGATTTGCATCGATAAAGTCGTGTGAACCACTTCTCATCCATGAGGTAGTTAATTGTATTTTCAGGCATACAAGAGATAATCTTGCATCACCTGACAGTTAAGCTTGAAGCAGTGAGAAGAGGAATAGAAGGCATTCTGGGCTGGCTGACTCCTCGGGAGAATCTAAACAGAATTATGGTGTATTACACCACCTACGGCATAAAACCAAAGCAAGTGCTAAAACTAATGGACCACAGCGAACCAACTTAAAACTGAATAAACAAACGTCTATTCCGCCTGAAGATACTTAAGGTGTTTTAAATTTTCTTTTAATGAGTGAGCATCGGACTCAATCGCAGACATAATTTCGAGCCCCTCCTTTGTTCTGCTAACACACATCAGAGTCTTTAGCTCAGCCATACTGGTCAGATAAGTTCCGAAATCTTTTCCCCAAATAGCCTCAACATTTTATTCTTCCTCAGAATATGATATCAGATAACCAGGTCTCTATCCAGGAAGAGATCAAAGCGGATGAAACCAAGGAAAGATGGTCAAGGGAACCTAATTACCAAGGAGGAGAGACAAATAGAACAATGGGCTTATCACTTCTGATGACTCTTGTATTGACTATCACCTGCAACTTGTCCAGAAATATCGTCAACATTAAGAACAAAACTGCCAATGGACACCAGTCTTCTAATAAAAGTCGAAGACTTGAATGTGATCAGGCCAGTGAAGTCCAAGAATGCAGCAGAATCATAAGGAATTCACACCGGAGGAAAATTTCAAAGCCAGCCAGACAGAATTAGAAAGGCGAGATACGCCTTCATCAATCTGAAACCAGTTTGGAAGTCTTCTGCACTCTGCAGTGTAAAGATCAAGATTCGGATTCTGTTCAACACAAATGTGAAGTCAGTCAGTCAGTTCTTCTATATATGGGTCAGAAACTTGCACTGCGTACACCTCACGAAATGGATTTACAACAAGTTACAGACATTTATGAACAGCTGCCCGTTTCGTAGGATCCACACTAGAAATCAGATGACCAGCCAGAAATAATGAGCAACAAGTATGTCTGACTGGTGACGAACCAGCCAAGAGCCGATTGCTCAACAAATATGTAGGAGAAAATGGAGATGGATAGATACGGCATACTTTGAGGTGGCCATCGAATCACATCGCGCACAATACAGTTCATAGGTGGAGAGGAATCTTAATGAAAGGCGACGAGTGGGTCGTCGATGTGAGGGCGACATGTAGGAGATCGTGCGAGTCGGAAAAGTTGACAGATTATGGTCAATCGTGGGTCTAGCAGAGAATAGAACAAAGTGAAGATGTGTAGATGTTGAAGCCCTATGTTCCACTCGGAATCCAAGGGAACAAAATAATGAATGATAATTGTTATTATAAGTCGTTAAATCCTTTCTTCAAACGGCCTTAACATTTTGTTCTACCTAAGTCTCTGACTCATCAGAGGACTTTTTCGGATAACCGAGACTTTTCTATTAGTGTATGCTAAACAGTGATTACAAAGAGTCAGGTAGCTTAAATATTAGGTAACATCCTCTGAAATTCTTTCGTCAGTATTATTACTTTCAAATTCCAAACAGGGAAACAAATTTCCAACTTCATATTCGATTAGTTTCGTTCTGCGTGGAACCGCGATTAGTTGCCACAAGTACTACAGAGATTATGAAGAGTCGAGGACACTGATAATAATTATAACATCACGATAGAACAGACAGAAATAAAAAAAACTATTTCCAGATGCATCACATGTGACACAAACTCAAGGTGTTACAAAAGAGACTTTCAGATGGGGTAAATTTAGTCCACAGGAACGTCACTTTATATTCAACATTCACCACAATGGAAGCTCATTAGAATGTGATTAAACCAAGTGATTCACACAGAAGTTTCAGAGATATTGTGGATTCTTTATGTTCCCTGCAACACACACAATCAGTAATTTATCATTGTGTGACAGTCTTCATAAATGTTCTCTCGACTTTGTCCGTCTAAAACATTTTTTCATAACATAACACTTTGATCTCTTTGATATTCATATGAGTTCTGCAAGTTATTGATCAATTTTTCAGCACTTGATTGATGCTTCCTTTTTTCAAATTCTTTGTGAATCTGCGTGTTTCAATAAAAACATGCCACTTTGAACAAACCAATGCAAAGTCCACTTCAAGTGTACATTCATCTCGAAATATTGACACTATGATCCTAAAATGGCGATTTCATCAAATTGTAGTATAAAATGTTCACCCCTTTACCAAAACTAGAAAACAGAGAGATCAGAAAGAGCACATTCGTCGTTTAACTCACTTAATCCTAACCCAGCTGAGTTATGAGACCTGCACAAAGGATCCTGATCCACTCATTCTTATTACTATGGTTCATTGCAATTTCAGAGTGTTTAATCCCCAAAGCGAAACAATATGCTAGAGGAGGTATTCCATGCGGAATCACCAGATCCCTGAGTGTTAAACATGACTACGATTCCTGCTATATTTTAGAGGATGCGTTAAAACGTTTTTCATTACGTCTAGAAGAAGTACCACAGCGGATTAACTCTTATTCAGTAGAATCCTGCAAAGTGACCACTATTCAAATTGATATTACTGAAGGCTGTAATGAAGAAAATGGAAAATTATGGCCATCCGATTCAATGAAGGAATCATGTAGGTGGAACGCACTTTAGGTGTTTAAACACGGGGAATTTTGTTATCTAGATATGGTGAACATCTCCGAAGGTATTATACACATTCAATCAGATGAAATATGGGGAGTATTACATGCTTTGGAAACAGTCCTGCAACTAGTGTTCAGAGATCAGAACTACAAGGTACAGTGCAGAAATGTGCTCACTTCACGATAATAGAATTCGATACTTGAGTGCGGCATAGGAGATTCACCAAGATTTCCACACAGAGGAATGATGATCGATACAGCCAGACATTATCTAAGCGTTGAAACAATCAAGAATGTCATTGTAAGTTGCCTTCCACCTGCTGTTCTTGTTATGTGACTCATAATTTTTAAATTGAAAGGCTGCATTATCAATGGTGAAGATGAATGTGCTACACTGGCATATGACAGATGATGAATCCTTCCCGTATGTTTCTTCAGTGTATCCTGAATTGTCTTCAAAGGTGAGATATTCTCAGTCAAATGCGTTATCACCGTTTCATTATTGTGATTGTATTTTCAGGGAGCATATCATCCACATTCGTATGTGTATGAAAAGGATGAAATTGATTCACTGGTAGAATTCGCTCGATTACATGGTGTTCGGGTGATTGTTGAATTTGACTCACCAGGTGAGGATTGTCGAAATTATTGTGATGAGATCCGACTGTGTACTTTGTAATTGTCATTTACTCCTAATCTCAGTTTATGGGTGACTGATTCTCAAACTATGCGGTCATATTGTAACGACAGAAGACAATGGCCAGGACACGAAATCAACAGATATTTATAATATTTTCATGTACATTATTATAGATTATTGTAAGCACGCAAACACAGCTTTCTGATTAGTGGATTCCCGCTGAACGTTAATCTTTCATCTTTTCGTGGCCATTTATTGAAGTTCAGATAATCTATCTGCAAATTGTATCCGCCTACGCAAACAAAGTCTGCTGTGACTGGTTTTTGAATCAGTCTTTGTTCTAATTTTTTCACGACCAATATTGGGGACGTAAACATTGACGTGAATTACTGTCTACCAATTCGTCTAGCAGCCATTTCTCATCACAAAATGTGTGATTTCATCACTATTACTTGGTGATTATGAGTATTTCTCTGCAAATATTTATAGATTCTAAGAGGTTACAGTTTCACTTAATGTCCAGTAAATTCAGACAACATTCGAGGGTGTGAAAAATAAGCCAAGATTCAGTTACCAGATCGATCTGATCACTTAATGTAGACAATAGAATTTAGTTTAATTAGACCGCCAGAAAATTGAATAAAAGATAAAGTTAGAAGTACAGAATGAGATGGTGAGAATGAAAGCTGAACTTCTCAAATAACGAATATATAAAACATCTTAATGGCCATATTCACTGTGTATCACATGATTGACGAAGCCTTTTTCATATATAGAGCTACTCCATCCGTGAAGTGTTGTTTTCCTTAGTTTGACAGAGTTCTGATTATCCCCAGTGTTTACAGAAGATTCTCATACACACTGCAGATGACATTAAGACTGTCTTAGGGGTTCACCAGGTGGCTAAAATCGATTACCTGTTTGGACATTGAGATTGAGACTTAGTCGCTGAAAAGTGATACAATTTACCAGCCTTCTCTACAAAAATTATCGAAAGTTATTTTTCAAATTTAATTTTTGATTATACCTTGAAACCACACAGTATTTTTGGTACAAGTATGGAATTTTCAGCATATGATATCGTTAGCCCAAATCTTGCAGACTGACCATAGATATCAGGTGTGCGTCGGCAGGGGATCAAACCCCGAACCATGTGGACGGTCGGCGAGCGTCCTAACCGCTGTGCTAGCTCAATCAAGTGTGGTATACCTCAAGTTTATAAAAAGGAAATAATCTGTGACCTAAACTGGTAGAACCGGAATAAAAAACTTATTTTGAAAAAACTGATAACATAGTGAACCCTTCTTCGAGAGTAAAAACGTTTTACTCAGGTATTGGTTTTTGTAGGGATTATTGTTTGATTGGTTGGGGGATTTCATCGTGAAGTTGTTATCAGTTGGAGAACCATTGGAAAACCTGGGAGTACTGGACAGCTGTTTCGTCCCAGTTTAGGACTCCTCGCAGTCCTGAACCATACTTTCCAGTAATCCCAGGTTTACCAATGGTTCTCCAACTGATAACACTTCACGATGAAATCCTCCAACCAAATAAATAATAATTCCTACAAAGCCAATAAGTGAAAATTCATCAATAGCGACTGGCCCTGTTCTGGCATTGACCTGGGGTTCTAGTGGGAAGCCGTGACTAGTAGGGTGCAGCAGGTTGAAGGTGAGGCTGTGACTCGTCGAAGAAGACATTGAGAAGTGGTGGCACTGTGTCATAAATTGACAGAAGCTTTTTTAGTTTTAGTTTTTAGTAGTTTAACTGCATTGGGACTGGTACCTGTGACTCCATTTCAAAGACGTTCGATATCATACCGTTAATGTAGCATCCGTATTACTAACAACCGCATCAAGAAATCGTACACCGAAGCGTACTTCATACAACAATCTGCTATGGTGATTGACATTCAAATTCAAGCCAGCAGTGTATGAAATTCAGTGAAATAAACTCAGATGGTGTTTGCATGAAAGTAACAAGCTGACTATCACATATCTATCTTTCTGTCATCCAGGTCACACTCTATCATGGGGCAAAAGTCATCCTGAAATACTCTCGGGTGAATCACATGACGGACCAATCAATCCAGTCGATGAGAATGTCTGGCCATTTCTATCAAATTTATTCAGCGAAGTGTTGAGTGTATTTCCTGACCGTGTCTTACATTTAGGTGGGAGCATTTATGATAGGCATTCATGGTGAGTGTGTTGACTTTTTCTGATGTGTGATTAGTTTCGCACATCACATATGGCTGAATGATTTCTCGTAAGGAATCTGATGCGATTCGGCTTCTTCATCATGTGAGGAAAGGCCGAATAGCCAGATGTTTCCTAAGTTTAAGTTTCCGATAATCTTTGCTTCGTATCTCATATTCGCTGTTTAAAACTACCACTTTTAAAAGACATTAATGCACAGAGTCAACCGTGTGCAAGGTTATTCTCAGTTTTTGTTTAATTCGTGACAAAATATTTACACAAATGTAGCAACTGGGAGGTGCCTGTAGGGACGAAACGCATAGCGAATCTCTGAAGTGCTCACCAAATAATGAAGGTGGCTTTGATTCTTAGACACTGGTCGTACCTGCATGAGTTGTGGTATCCTTACTGGTGACTTCTAGAACACCTGGTGAAAGTTATGATGGACATAAAACTGGAAGACTGTTCACCAAAGATTGCTTTAGAGTATTTCGTAAAACTTATCAAAACTTATATTTGCGAAATGGCTTGGATGAAGGGTTAAAATAGTCACACTAAGTTTCTACAATCAACTCTACGCATCATCATCGAACAAAGCATGGAATGGCAATCAAACCTCTACCTGAACTTTATACACTTTGAGAAGGCCTTCGACAGCGTTGACCGCGAAGTGATTTGGAAACTGCTCAAGTACTTCGGCGTACCCCAAATATTCACCAACCTTATTCAACAGCTGTACGACAACGGCACATGCCAAGCGATCCACAACGGAAAACTCAGCGAGGCGTTTGGAGTAAACACAGGAGTCAGACAAGGGTGCTTATTATCACCAATGAAATTCCTAATTGTGGTGGACTGGATTATGCGTCAGACAGTGAAAACGAGAAGACAGGGATATCCTGGAGTGACGTGGATAACCTGGCAGACCTGGATTTCGCAGATGACTTTTGTTTGATGTGACACAAAATCGAAGACTTACAAGCGAAAACCGACAAACTAGTCGGAGAAGCAGCAAAGACAGGACTGACTCCAAGTGAACATAGACAAGACGGAGGTTATGAAAATAACCAACAACAACAACAGCAGCAGCAACATACAGCGCCAATCACCATCAATGGGAGGGATTTGAAAGAGGTTACTTCATTCACTTATCTAGGGAGCATTGTCTCAAATACCGGAGGAACTGACGATGATGTCAAATCGATAGTCGGGAAGGCGACAAACACATCCATCAACCTGAAACCAATCTGGAATTCTTCGTCACTCAACATCAACAACAAAATTCGGATTTTCAATACAAACGTCAAGTCAGTTCCTCTATACGGATCGCAAACTTGGTGGGTCACAAAGAATATTTCAAACAGGTTGCAGACATTTATCAACAGCTGTCTTCGTTCTATACTGAAGATCAGATGGCCGGAAAGAATCACCAACAAGAAACTATGCGAACAAACAAAACAAGAACCAATCGCTCAACAAATATGCAGGAGAAAGTGGAGATGGATTGGACACTCGCTGAGGAGGCTGCTGGGTGACATCGCGCGTCAGGCCCTCGAGTGGAATCCGAGAGGGAAGCGTTGAGTGGGACGTCGATGCAAGGATGTCATGGGGGAGATCGTGTGAAGAGGAGCTGAAACAGTATGAACTAACATGGATGCAAGTGAAAAGTGCAGCACCTCGATTCTACGGCAGACCAAAAATACACAAGCCAAATATACCTCTACGACCAATCGTATCACTCCCAGGAACCCCAACATACAATTTATCCAAAGAACTATACAGAAGACTGAAACACTTGACGAAATCATGTGATCACTGCATCCAATCTGCGACCCAATTTTTAGCGAAAATCAAAGGCATTGAAATAGACAGCCAAGAAATAATGGTATCCTTCGATGTCACGGCATTATATGCTTCGATTGGACTAAAACTAGCAAAAGAAACCATGGAACAACTACTCAACAACGACGAACACATACAACAATCAAAAATGCTGCATTCAAGTTGGATGGAATGCATAAACTTGTATCTCACAACTTATTTCCAATTCAACGGCCAAATGTATGAACAAATTCAAGGGACACCTATGGGATCACCCATATCAGGATTGATTGCGGAAGCCGTCATGCAAAGACTGGAAAACATAATTCTGCCAAAGATCAAACCAAAAATTTGGATACGCTACATAGATGATACATTCGTGATAATCAAAAGAGAAAACTTAGACAATACCCACAACATAATAAACAACACCTTCAACGACATCAAATTCACAAGAGAAGAAGAATATGAAAACAAAATCCCATTTTTAGACGTCTTAATCAAACGAACAACTACAGGAAAATTAGAAACCCAAGTATACAGAAAACCAACGTACACGGATCAAATACTCAGTTACAACAGTAACAACCCAGCATCACACAAAATTAGCTGCATACGTACATTGTTCAAGAGAGCCAGGACTCATTGCAGCACTTCCGCTGTGAGGAAAATTGAAGAAAATCATCTTATGGACGTCTTCCAAAGAAATGGATACCCACGAAACTTCATCAAAAGACATCTACCCCCAGCTCAACCAACCAAATCAAAGGCCACCAGCGAAAACACAAAGAAAGTCGTCCTACCATATATAAAAGATATCTCCGAAATCACTGCAAGACTATTCAAACCATTTGGAATCGATGTCGCTCATAAACCAACAAAGTCACTACACTCAGTTCTATGTAAACCAAAGGACTCAACGGCAAAAGAAGACAAAACTAACGTCATCTACAAGATAAGTTGCAACGACTGCGACAAACATTACATTGGTCAAAGTGGACACCCTCTTCGTCTTCGCATTCACGAACACAAACTAGCTGTCAAAAGACACGACATACACTCCCTCAAATCACTACATGCAGACAACCACGGGCACCAATTCGACTGGGACAATGTTCAAATCTTAGACAAAGGGAACTGCAAAAATGCCAGAGAATTCCTAGAGGCCTGGTATTCAAATGAATCAGCAATCAATAGACACATAGAGATTGACAAAATATACCAATCCATACGAAGAAATTCACACAAAAACAAAGTCAAACTTCAGGTCAAGGAAACAGTCAGCAACAAAACAAGTGAACTGGAAAGTGCGAAGTCACACAAAAACAACCAATCACGTTCAAGGTTAGCAGAAGGAATGACTAACGGCATTCAGACCAAAGAAGCAGCCAGCACCGAGACAAGCAAACTAGGGGATGAAATGTCACACGAAAACAACCAATCACGTTCAGGGTCACTAGAAGAGATGACTAATAAACTCATAGAGAATTCTAACAGCTCACTTCACATCGAAGTATGCGCTGAAGATTTTGCTCAGTAGAGCAATGAAAGCTTCGCAACCAAACCATCCAGCTCAGAGAACACAACCACACCAAAATTATCAACCTGAGCTTCAAATCTTCTCTATTTTATCTAGATCACGATTACACAGCCAGCACATTCGAATTCCTTTTAGTCTGTCACTGTAGCAATCGATTCATGAAAGAATGTGAGTAGACTCAATTTGTAGAAGGTTAAATGCATTTCTAACAAGAAACATGTTGTTCTGTTGTGTGTAGGCAAGAAGACGCTAACATCCAAGAATTCATGAAACAGAAAGGATTCGATCAAGACTACAATAAATTAGAAAATTATTATTTTGAACGCCTCACAGAAGTTGTTCAGAATATTACTTCTGAGTCACAAAGCGTGACGCCTGTGGTGTGGCAGAATGTATTTGAGAATGGATTCCGAGTAAGTATTCTTCAATTTGCAATTGCTGTTCATAACTTAATGCAGTTTTACTCTCACTTAAATAACCAAATCAGGTATTTTGTTTTAATTTTAAAAATTTTGAGCATATGAATTTCGAGTCAGATCATAAATACAGTGAACAGAGGAAGGATAGTAGCAGATCTCTCATTAGATTAATCAATCAGCAAATGTACCACCTCACAATTGAATCCAGAGGAACTTCATCGATTTATCAGTATTTTCTATTCATCCTCATCCTGCCTTATTGTTCTAGTCACATCGATTTGCATTTAGACCTCTCCCAAAAGTTGCATATTCTTCATCCCTACGTGGGATCACTGATTCAAGTGAATTAGGAATCGACAAATGGAAGACTCAGGAAGTTGAGTGGTGTAAGGAATACAAATAACCTCGTCGTCATTCCCTCATCTTGAGGTGAACATTGCTCAATTTACAAGCCTGACTGAATGTGACTGGAAGTGACCAGAAGTGTGATTTGTATGAATATACACACTGACTTCCAGAGTATGATTACAATACACTGAAACAAGCAGATCATTTAGAAGTGAACAGGTGGAAATATTCATGTCATTCCATTGACCCAACTGACTACTCATCTCATTCCAAAGGTATTTGTATGTGTTTGTCTGTCCACTTAATTGTTGTTTTGGATGCACACGTGAAAAATGTTGAGAAATAGTTTTGAGGGGATAAAAATATGTCCATATTTTCACACCTTGCTACAATCCGGACACTCGGAAACTTATTCCATTTATTATCTTAAATCTTAACACTTCGAATGATTGACTTCAATGTAACACAAGACGACGTACCGTTATCCGGGATATGAAATTAGCATCCTGAGATGAACCTCAGCTATTTTGTATTTATCGATCGCTTTATAGGAAGTGACTTTATCTGATCGGTCATAGAGTACAGCCACCACAATCTAATCCTTCATTATAACGTTAATTATTTCCACCAACACAACAGTAAGATCACCAAAAGACGACATGCGAGAGAAGATGCCCTGCTTGAGGAGAGTTTGCACTGCCTCAATAATATTCAGACACTACCGTGATCCCATATGCATAGCTTTTATATGACCTGGATACGCATTGCATTCTCTGATATGTTTGAAAACGTATCGACCAATGAGAGTTTAGTCTTCAAAAATACTGGGAATCTAAACCTCGTGTTACTAGTTATTTTAAGATACGCGGAATTGGGGGTAATATAAAATAAGTAGATCGCTATTATTGTCATCAAATCGTTTAACGTCTTACGATATGCAAGTGTATTGGTTTAAGTGTCCAAGCACCCACACCTGACTGTTGTATCTGAAATCACTTGATTCAACATATACATGAGGTAGTGTGGTGAGTTACCCATCGTGATAACTGAGCAGTGTGGATTTCTTCCAAGAGATCCTGTGCGATAAGCCGTAACTAAACTTTTGTTTGAATAAATGAAATCCTTGGCTTATATGGATTTGTTCAGAAAGGGAAAGGTTAGACAACGAAGGCGCCAATGACATTGAAACGGGCAACCACAGTGAATGTGTGAACTCATGTAAGTGATGTTATATTCATAACGAATTGACAAGAGGAGTGTGAAAGTATGAAACATGATACCCGCTTTATATAAACTTTCGTTAGAGGGAGGTGGTAGGGCAGAACTAGGTTAGGCATAGGTTAGGGTTAGGCAGGATAAGGGCAGGGTAGTTTACCTGTAGATTGGGGTTAGTGTTGAGTTAGGCACTAAAACACCTCTCCTTTATGATGTTGGTCTTTGCAAATTCATTGGTACGTTTGCTCTGCTTGGATAGCTCTCCTTTAACTTAGTACCGTATTTTAGATGAGAAGATGAACACAACTTCAAAAACTTGAATTGTGAGGTGTGCAGGTTAAATTCGGTCAAAGCACCATAACGGTGTAGGTAAAGGAAAGCAGTAGAGCTGTGTAGGAGTCACTTCTGGGTGTAGTCAGAAATAAACAACGCGCGGCTGTACACAGTGAGGCAAAATTAATCAGAAATAGTCGAATATAGACATTCACAAGGACGTACGGTGAAACATGGTAATGACTAATTCTTTTCGAGTGATGGAAGTAAATTATACAAAGTATGAGCGTGTACTACTTTATTTTGACGAGTAGCATGTAACTGAGCACAAATGAAAAGAGTAATAATGGACCAGAAGATGCCAGTAAAAAGAGAAGGAATGAGGCAACAGGCACTATCCTAAAGCTTTGAAAGAATCCTATTGACACAGAGATAGATGAATTCCGAAATACCAATCTCACACATATGATCATTTAAATAGTGTTAATATTTCGTGTTTTAAATTACCAGGGTAATGAAAATGCCGTCATCATACAAGTACACGATAATTCCGACTGGGAAGCTGTCACCAAGTCAGTCACATCATCTGGATACAGAGTGATCAATTCAGCGTGTTGGTCGAAAGTTGTTGGGAATTTCGATGATGCATGGAAGACATTGTACGATTGTGATCCTGCTGCATTTGGAGGTAGTTTTGATGTTATTTATGAATAAATTGTAAATCCCGTATAAAATTAATGACAGATGGTAGGCTTCTGGTAGACATTTGACACTTGTCGATTATCGACGTGAGAAACTGCCACTGTATCAATCCATGTGTATACAATTGAGTGGAATCAGACGATAATCTGTAGCGGTGAATGGAGCGTGGAATGGATGATAATTCCGACACGGCTGCAGTAGGGGTTGATATTCTGCAAGAGATACAGTAGAATTCATTAAACAAGACGATCTGAACTGTACTATGTATAAGTAAGATTGGAGTGGAGAATTGTGGAATAGACAAGCGGTAGAGCATCGAGATCCCTCCACATGCCCACAGATGAACACACAGGACATTTTCACAATTATTGTGCCGAAGTGTCTGGAAGACAATTTTATGATGACACTGAAGCATATTCTACTCGGACGATGTTTGTGATACTGACGGATAGTTGTGTGTTTCTTCTCATTGTAAACAGGTACTGAGGAAGAAGCTCAGTTGGTTATTGGTGGGGAAGTCATCATCTGGGGAACATATGTGGATGACACGAATCTCTTTCTACGATCATGGTAAGCAATTCACGATAGATATGTAATCAGTGTGCTGGACAGCGTGTTTTCAGGTCTCATGTGCATCAATCATTCAAGATTGACTGAACATTGACTTTGCAATTAATTTGCTGTTAGAACTAAAGATGATTGGTTCAGAGAATGTCAAATTCTTGTAGATTTCTATGAAGAACTGTGATGTGTGGTTGACATCACTGCATTATATTACCGCTATACTATACTTTGATGAAAATGACCTTAATGACTGTCGTGTGAATAATTTCAAAATAAGCGGACCATGTTTAAAATGCAGTTGGAGCGGATCAAGATGCACATATCTATGGAAATATGACCTCTGGTTATACTAATCGTTCTCGTGGGTATCTAAATCTAAGTTAATGACACCTGGCATATAATACTGGAATCATGAATTAAGTATGCCTGATGAAGTGTTATGCTACTAAATGGGATATCTGACAAGTTTCAGTTAAAGTTTGGGAAAGAGAAAATTGTGCTTTTGGCTAAGGACAGGTTAGGAATACGTTAGCACAATAAGGGTGACATTAGGGTTTGTTCGAGTTAGATAAGAGTTAGTTCCAGTAGGGATATTTTCACCATATGGTTCGGTTAGGGAAAGATTAGGGTTGTTGTTATTAGGGTTAGAAGACCAAGGTAGTTACATACATGATACATGCCCACATTACACTGTTGATACTCTAATCCCACATTGAAAGGTATTTTGTCACATATCAGAGTGTGGCATGCTGCGTAACGGTTTCATGCCTTTTAATTCATTACTTTCATGAATATATATTCGTTTTATACGCGAAATTCCCATTACCGTGTGGTTGGTGCTTTCAGGGTCATTTGTCCGTTGGCACCTACTGGTGCTCAGAGTTAAAACTTGGCCGATTCGATAATTGTTTCTGACATTTTAAGCACACACACCGCCACTCCGTGGGAAATGAAACTAACTACTACCTGTAGGCTTTAGTCATTCAGTTATGTCTTCGTTATGTCTTTCTTATGTTATGACAAAGTGTATTCGTGGACTTCGTCTTTTAACTGGTTTTCAACCGAATGTCATGCCTTTCTCGAGGGAGATGAAGAATAAATATAATAAGGAATTGGTGATTGCTTCAGGTCTGAACAGGACAGTACACCAAGCGATCTGCTATCATCAATTATCATTTTACCTGAGGGTGCCAGACGAAGGCAGTGGGTTGCGCAATAAATTCTGCTGAGAATTTTGCACAGTATATCAACACTCTTCTGAATAAAACTATTAGTATTGTATGAATTAGGAAATTATTCTGGAACTTTCCCGTCCATTTGATATCGTAATAATATTATAATTATATAATCAAACTACTCATATCCATCGAACAGTAGTATATAAAATCGGCAATAAAGGGTATCTGCAACCTCGAGATTTTACTGAGCAATAACACACACAACTGACACCAGTATTTCAGATATACGCCATCACTGGAAACTTGAATGGCACAATCTAATCCGTATTACGAAACTAGAAAGCGATCATGTTTCATGCTACTTGACAAAGAAATCAGTTTACTCGTCGTGTGACTAGATTATCATGGAAGTATCTGAGAACAAACTGGAACTCACTCATCCCACTGAAACGAGGGGCTCATTGATCTCTCGTTTAACACACATTTACGGTTGTTCACTGTGCACAGAATCTACTTCTTTACTTAGAACTCCATTCAACCATTTCATCCTTGACATGTATTACAAGCACATTTCATTTTACTTTCATGTCGAATGGAATAACTTCGCTGACAACATGTCAAAGGCCGATAACTGCTGTAGCTGCTGAACGTCTTTGGTCAATTGATGCAGGCAATTTTCATGATTTTTCGCAGAGATTGAAGAGGCTACATTGTCAGATGATACTGTGAGTGAAAGCTGCTTATTTTCATTTATAAAATTTAAAATTCACATGGTGGGTGAGAACAAACCGAATAACAGAATTTGATGTCACGAGTGTACTCATAACTGTAGGATAACTGCAGTATTCAGTAGTGAATATCTGTCCTAGTGACTGACTGATGACACTTAGCCCACTCACAGTTAATTGGCGTTTATGACACCGTAAGCAGAAGTGATTTCTTTCACAGAGTTACCGTGTGCTGCTTCAATATACATTTCGAGTATTCCAGTCAACGTCACAGACACACACAGAGACAAACCCGTCTTAAACTTTCATTTGTTAGCGATTTGTCAGTAGATAAAGTGTGGAAATCGAATTCAACATTGAACAATATTCGAAATTTGTAGATTAACACTCTACTTGCAGTTTACTCATGTTGAGGTGAGATTTAATCACAGTTTCCCTGCGACTGACAATTTTTCAGGACAAAAGTATATACCATCTTGGTAAGATTAAATAGCAATCAAGAGGTCAAGCATATTTGCATGATGCTATGTGCTGCTGATTGATCGATACGAGTGATCGATTAGTTGGTCACTGCTCACATCGAACAGTTTAGCTTGTTGGCGAGGTCAAATTGATGCAAACACCCAATGGTCGTTTCACTTATTTTGTGCTGCTGGGTTCAGCAATGGTGCGTCGAGTTGAAATCAGTTGAGGAAGCACAGCTGGTTAGTGTGAGTGCCGTGCAACTCGTCATACCGATCAGTCAGTTTTGTATTGATACATGCTTGCTTTATTGACTGCAATTCATGGTATGAACCAGATCACACATACTTTATGATCTGATACATTTTGGTTTTAGAAGGAAGCTGTGGTGAAATATCATATCGAACTGGATAACTTTCACATGAAACATCAATTGCGATTTCCAGATGAATTTGAACCAGTGGATTACAAGTTCGTCTTATTCGAGTGGTCAGAACTGATTCGGATCTCTGATCTTGTTCACACTGGATACACCTCTGATAAACTCATCTCAAACCTATTGAAATGGCTATTCAATGTTTACGTCAATTTGATATGACAAGTAAACACTACTGGTCGGTATGCATATCGTCCAGCTACTCACATCTGACTATTTATCAGTAGTATATATCCTCATGCATTCAACACTAACTGAAAGTAGACTGCTGACAGAAATGGAAGTAATTCATGTGGTGTGTAAACAAAAGTCGGTTCTATGATTTATTGAATTATCAAACGGCATAAAACTGAATTATAAATAATCCCTTAACACATGAATTCAGTTGAAATGTATTTTCAAGACACATCTCCAAGACACTTCAGAATATTCTGTCATGACCAACTATGCAAAGTAACTGATGTTGACCAGCGAAAGTCAGAGTGAAATTCACTCACTTGTGCGAGTTCACCACATACTGGTTAATGTCTCATCTGACTCAAAGTAATATGAACTAATTGTAAATGACAGGAGTATCTAATTGCAGAGTCGTCTGTGTTCACTTCATTGCACACAGAGACATTTTCCGAATACTAGACAGGTGATTCACTACGTATTGTGATTTCGAAGTAAGATTCACGTGGAATGTTGACGTGCACAGTAAGTTTACCGCTTCCAGTTCTGAATCTATGAATGTTGAAATCTGCTTATTCAACTCACTAATACTACAGCAACATCTTCGTAGTTGTTCTATATAGATAGGCCAAATTCACCCCATTTACAGCTGTTGTTTATGTTTGACGACGAGGATCTTCAATCCTGCTTCATGTGGAGTTGAATATCTCTGAGGATATGAAATCAGTAAGTGTTTCAGTTCACAGTATGTTTCACTTCAAGACAGCTGCTTCTGGTAGAAGTGACAAGTTATTTAAATCGAGAGAGAGAGGTACTAGGTGAGGTGAATACTGTCCAGATGAGAGGAAACAAGTGCAGCCTCAGAACTGTAATGAGATCAGGATGACATTTAACCCTTGTGTTATTGATTGTCATCAAACTTCCATGAATACTTTTCGTCACTTACATTATTGTGTAAGACATTACAACCAGTTCATAATGCTTTTCTTAAACTTCTTTCATCTTGCCCTTTGAAGATTGAACTGGAATGTGAAACCGTTCACAGGACCTGGATTCTGTCGAAAATGAGGCAGTCGCTTGGCACAAATGAGAAGACAAATCAGAACTAGTATGTATTCAGCTGAGAACACTTGACACAATAATTTGATAGCTAATATTGGTGTAAACAAAAGTTACTTTACTTTTCTTTTAAATATGATTCATCTTGGATTTTTGATCTTTTCTACTAAGTGGTTCTGAAAGGATTTCAAAGATATTAGTTCATTGGTTCCAAGTGATCAAACTGTATAACTTTTCCTTTTTTCAAACATACCAAATCTGCATGACTGATAGGCGTATTATTTGAATTTATACTTTAGAGGCTGAAGGTATTTCTACGATCACTTCCATTTCCAATTCTTTAATCAAGTCACTCTGTCCCAGATCAGCCTAGCGGATCATTCGTTCTCACACTTCCAGCCTCCAAATGGGAGTCAGAGAGGTGGAGTGTGAGAGAGAATGATTAGATCAGTGAGAGCTATTCTTCAAGCATTATGCAATGAGCAGAATCTAAATAATGAAACTTCATTGATGTTTATGGCAGAAGTAGAACGCATATTGAATGATCGGCCGCTTGTACCATCAACATTGGATAGTAGAGATAATCGAGCTCTCACGCGAAATCACCTACTACTGGTCTGTCGAAACATTAGTATGGAGACTCAATCAGATAATGTCCAGGTATACAATACCGGATGAAAGCAGGCTATTCATGTAACAGCTTCGTTTTGACGGAGATGGAAGCGAGAATATCTACCCTTACTTCAAACTAGACAGAAATGGATCACAAAATCTAAAAGTCTATCTCTTAGGGATGTGGTGATGATTGCGCGAGAATCTTCGACAAGAGACGGTTGGTCGCTAGGAGTTATTGCGTGATGCGAGCAATCCGCGGACGGACTTGTCAGAACCGTTACAATAAAAACGAGAAACGGAGAGGTGAAGCGCGATATACGTAAGATATGCCTACTACAGGGAAGTCATTTGTATGAGA